GGATTTCTATTTAATCATCATGTTTGTAGTGAAGTTTCTCTTCGTGATGTCCCCTTTGTTAATGTAGGTATCACGTTTTGTGTTGATGCCTGAAATTAGCTCTTATTATTAGTTGACAGCTCTCACCGTGGTGTATACTGCTTGAACTTGGACTTGGAATTGCTCACAAAATAAACTTTCTATGTCCATGTGTCTCACAGTCGAATGGTGTCAATCATCCTTTCTGAGCTTCACTTACACTACAGCTATGTTCTAAGCAATTTCTCTTATCACATAAAACTGACATTTGTTCATCCCTTTCAATTGCAGCACCAAAGCAACTCCCGTGCAATATAGAGAGATACAGAATCGACAAGAGCATGTATTTCATATTTTATGCTTCCCCTTATGGTTTGGTCGAATTTGCTTTTGGGGATTTTCTACCTTACATTAATTTGACCTTGGGAATGCGGACGAGATCCATTTGTAATTGTGGATTCAGTTTCTGAAATCTCAATGGGCATTGATGCTTTTGTTTCAAGCTTGCATTCTTTTCTGGTTTGTAATCCATAGGTTAAACAATTGAGTTTCGTCTCAACTATCCTGCGCTTTTAGCTCCTAAAAATCTGGGTGATTCTTATCAAATAATTTCTTTTATCTTTGGGGGTATGGGTCCAAATTTTAAACTGAACTTAAGTTGTCAAGGAGGTTAGCAGGAAGGTCAAGATTGTGGATGGAAGGACACACCAAAGAAACAAGATGGAGAGGAAACATCAGGAGTGATGAGATTTTGCAAGCCAAGGAGTTAGCATGAAGGTCAAGATTGCGGATGGAAGGACACAGCAAAGAAAGAATAGATGAAGAAATCCAAGGTGGAACTTGAAGATGTGAAACCGGAAGTTTATGTTGCGCAAATTTCTGGACAAAAAACAGGGGCATGTTAAAATAAGGGCCTGTTCACTTCTCATTCCGTTTTCTGTGATTTTGGCAACAGAAAATGAAATCTGGAGAAATGGAAACTGCCATTTTCTGAAAAACGATTCCTGGAAACCTGATACTGAAAACCTGTTTAGCTGGGATTTTTGTGAAACCGGAAACTGTAAACTGAAAATGAAAACCTGTTTAGTTGGTTACTAGACCTGGAAATGAGAATTTGTTCGTTTTCCTGACACTAGTACATAATTCAGTATTAAATAAGTAGAAGTACAATCACAAATGTCAAAGGAGTCCAGCTTGGAAGTCATCCCACAACTTGTCCGCTATTCCGTCACGTCGAATTTCCATTTGTCGTGTTCGGCTTGAACTCATAGGATACTCCTCTCTTTCCAGAACTCCTTGCACTCCATTAACTCCCTCCTCTATATAATAATTCTGATATTCTTCAAATAGGACATCTTCACAAGAGTGAATCCTAATGAAGTTATGTAAAGCACATGTAGCAATAACAATTTGTGCTTGTTTCTTTAGTGAAAAAGAAGGCATATGTTTGAGAATTGGGAACCTGGCCTTCAAAACTCCAAAGCAACGTTCGATGAAATTGCGTAGGGATGAGTGATAATAGTTGAATAGTTGTTTACGAGTTTTAGGTCCACCACCTCGATTGATTTCTTGAAAATGAGTAGGCTCCTTTGTTCGATATGGTGCTAGGAACCCAGGCATGTTCGCAAATCCGGAGTCAACAACATAATACTTACCTACATTGTATATAGCAAGTCAATTAGTATATAATTACATGAGATTTATTTATGTACAAACAAAATAAGTACCTCGTGGTGGCATCGGGAACTTGTTATCTGGATTTGAAACTGTTTCACTGAGAATTCTAGCATCATTTGTCGTGCCTTCCCATCCAGCCACCACAAAAGTAAAAAGCATATCGAAGGAGCATACACACACCACATTTTGAGTTGTTGTCGCCTTGCGTCCTCGATATGGAATTTGTTCAGCAGTAGGAACAGATGCATCAATATGCACTCCATCTATAGCTCCAATGCAATCCTATGTAATCACAAAAGTGGACATGATCAACAAACATGTGTAAATATTGTACTAGTAACTATGGAGTAAGTATTTATTTACCTTGAAATATGGATCATGTCTAGAACCAACAATTTTGTCAGGGACGTTATCAAAATTTGGTGGAACAATAATCTTGTTTGCAATCTTGACCACAGCTTTCAATACTTTGTCAAAGTACTTTGAGATGGTGGCTGTAGAATGTTGAAACCTTTCGGCAATATCGCGAAAGTCATTAGCGTGACCTATAGTCTTGAGGAAGATGGCAACTTGTTCTTCAACTGTGACTCTCGTAGTGGACTTTAACCCTCCATTTTGTTTCAACTCCTCACAAAGAGCAAGAAACGTATCTTTGTCCATCCGAAGTTGCTCATATATCCTTGTTGGATTACCATGAAGAAGCTCTTTAACCCAGGCATGCCCAGTTTTGTCTGAGGTTCTACATGGCACTTTAGACACATTGGATCTCTCTTTCTCCAACAACCACAAATGCATCATGAAGATCCCCAAATCATCATCAGAATCGGCATCAGAACCAGAAGCCATATGTATGCATTGCAGAATAATAAATTACAATCAAACTTTATTGAAATTGTGCTTACACCATAATAAGATAATGGTTCAAATAAAACATACAACCACAATCACTCAAACATTCAACTCAACAACATTGTTCAACTAAAACATACATAGCTCAAACACTCAAACACAAACACACAATGTCGGCGTTGTACAATCACACCAAACCTTCCAGCCATTCCTTCTTTCTCTTCTCTGTCATGCGCAGAAAGAGACCGCGCTTTAGTGGATTATCATGGAGAACATCAATAGCCTTGACAAACACACTACCATCCACCTCCATCTCATCTAAAACCTTCATACACTCTGTCATAATATCTAGGTCCTTGTCCTGCGAAGATACTTCATTCATAGGGCCTTTCACAGAAGATGCAGCAGTCTTGGCATCATGCCTATCATTCTTCCTTTTAGCACTCTCCGCCATGCTAATTATTGTCATCTCTACTGCAGTTGAAAAGGTAGATTTGTTTGCTTTCCTCTTCTTGCCTTTGACCTTTGATTTGCCCTTTGCTTCCTTGGCGTGATCCGTGGCATCATCAGCAAGAACAAAACCTTCCTCATTGTCCTCTCTACTTTGTCCACCACTGCTATCTGAGACTTCTTGAGTAGAGACAAAAGCATTGCCACCAGAAGCAGTAGTGTCACCAAATATGATGCAAAGGTTGTTGTATTCTGGACAACCATACTTCCTAAACCCGGTACAACCTTTTAGACCCTACACATTAACGTTCTAATCAATTATAAGTTCAAAATCGAAACACATATTTATTGAAATTGAACGAAATGTTCAATTACCTGCTTACTCCATTTCTCCCAATGATCCTCAGAAGCGCTCACCTTTCCCGTTGCAGCAATGTAACTAACTCCCGTCTCACTAATCATGCCCTTGAAATCCCTATGCCTTCTTCTAAGTTGGTTAAATTTATTCTTCAGTTGAAAATCGTTATAGTCCCTGTTAAACTTACTCATTATTCCATTTTTTATGTTAGCCCATCCTAATTTTGTGAAGGTAGTAGTAATCTTGCTACCCTTCTTCACTTCCTCGACCATCAATTCAATCATAAAATTCTTAACTTGTTCGGGCCATACATCTTTTCCTTCTACCACCACACAATCATTATCATTGACAGCTTCTGTATTCTCCATGAGTGAAACTATACAAGAAAAAACAATCATGATATTATAACCAACAAACAGAACAATCGATAACCACAACAAACAACTACAATCACTATCCCTACTCCATAGATAACCACAACAAACAACTACAATCACTATCCCTACTCCATAATAAAATGAAATTCCAAACAACAAATTAACAACACACAACAAATAAATTCAACTAATCCACATAAAACCATCTGCTACCAAAATAAATTGCAAAAATAGAAGAAGAAGAAAAAAAGAACAGTGGACTTACTCAGTCGGTTCGTCGAGTTGTGGCTGGAGGGAAGTTGCTGGCCGTAGGGGAGGAGCAGCCGGCGGGGAGGAGCAGGTGCGCGTCGCCTCGGCCGTCGTTCACCTCGAAGAAGCTGGGAGGAGCAGGAGGCTGGGTCTCGAAGAAGCTGGGACGCGCACGGCCGTCGTTCACCTCGAAGAAGCTGGGAGGAGCAGGAGGCTGGGAGGAGGAGGAGCAGCCGACGGAGAGAAGCTCGGCGAGAGGAGAAAGATGGCCTCCTCGACAAATCCCGACCGCCTCGACAAGTCCAGGGCGAGAGGAGAAAGAATAGATGCTGGCTGCGGCGACTTTAGAGATGGTGTAGGGTTTTGTTATGTCAATTGAAACGGAAAAAAAAAAATAAGAATTGCGGTCGCTAGGTCTCGAAGAGACAATCTCATTAATGAAAACGGAAGAAAACCTGTCCTCTACCATCCGGGAAAACCAATTTTTTCGTTTTCACATATTACCACTTTTCCTTGTCATTCGGTTGCCATTAATGAAAATGACAACAAAAATGAACACGTTTCCTCTTCTTTGTTTTCAAAATTTTGTTTTGACAACAGAAAACAGGAAACGAAATGGAAAATAAACAGGCCCTAAGAGATGCAGGTGCAGAACAAGATATAGTTTAAAGTTTCAGTAGGAAACTCTTAGATGTAGCCATGAATTTGTATCTCATGTCTAGAACTATGTCAATGAGTTGGATTTGGTTGGAAACTCTTAAAGCATGCTTATTATTCGACTATTTTTTGAATTAATAGACGATTGTTTTTGAACGTTCTCTATCTTTTCACCACTTAGTTATTAGTCTATTAGAATCATGGTACACAAAAAATTTGTGGGGATAAATTTCTACACCTCTAGCCTCGCAAATGATGGTTGTGTTGTGAGCTATATTTCTATGCTGATTAACTATGGAATTCAAATGATGGTTGTGTTGTGAGCTATATTTCTATGCTGATTAACTATGGAATTCAAGATACAAAAGTCTCCTATACATTTACTGTTGCCAGTAGCACGATCCTGAGTTTGTCGTTACTGAACTGGCCACCATATAATTATGCTGCAACTACTTTAGTTCCTGCGGCGTAGCCGCGGGTATTGAATCTAGTTTCTGTATTAAAACTCACTTAGACCTCATTCCGGTCTCACATTCACCCTGACACAACAGAGGGTCTCTGAGTTATATTCAGCAAACTCAGCATATTTCGGGTATAACTTTCGTCTGGTTAGACGAAACCAGGAGAAGATAGTGGAGCCATCACAAGAAAATAAAAGGACACGATGAATGCCCAATGTCCGGCTAACATCATGCTGTTTACAGGAAATTAGTAAACTCGCCGCAAATCTCATCATATCGTATACTACCGTTTAAGAAGGCTGTACGAGGGTATTTCTTCTAGCCGTGTTATGTCTTCTGCCAAAAGTTCCCTTTCCAGTTGCCTTCGTGTGGATTTCATAACAGCCTGCAGAGATACAAGGCGACAGACCACAAATTTGTCAGAGTCGATATTATCTCTAATGTCAAATGTAACATGCCGTCTGTTATGAGCTTCAAAATGCACAAGCATCCAGTGGTTCAGAAGACAGAAGGGTCATGAAACAAATAACCAGCTTTTACTTCCATGAAGCAAAAGACCAAGCATTATTTTAAGGACACATATCCATATCTGAACAAGGAGTTTCAAGTACAACTTACATTGAAGTCCATGTATGATGCACGCATGGTAAGCCATTGCTGATCCATTAGCTTGAACGTCATGCAGTAAAGGAGATCAAACGCTGATTCATTTTCTGCAGTAATCAAGCGTTTTATAGGACTGGGACAGTACTTAGAAGGTGTTTGTAAAATATTAAATACATTGAAGAAAACAACATTTACCAGTGAGGAACTTCAGGAATGTTGCTCCTACCAAACTCCGTGGCTTGACTGTGGAAGTGAAGTTCAATCTTAGATACGAACTCTATAAAATTAAGTTGTACAAAGAATGAGCCAAGGGAAACAATGCTGAGTGTATCCCATTTGGAAAATTTTAAAAGAGAGTATCTGGGTGGACCTGCTTCCAGATCAAGCATCTGAATTAGCATGAATGTGATATTCACACCAGCTACAGCAAATGGGTATTCCCAAACTGAACGATCACCTTCCCGCTTTTGAAGAAGATCCTGGAATGATTGCTGCATTAGGATGTAAAGTGAACCAGAGCATTAGAAAGAAGAAGTGGATTGCTGATATGTGCACTTATCGCTTTGAGGCTAAAACTGTTCTCAGGCCAATGTCAAAGCAAAATCACCCACATCAAGGGCCACAAGCCAGGCATAAGCAAAACAATCAAAGGCTAAATTTAAACTCCAACGGAATGAATAAAGGAAGTCCCGACATTAAGGTAATAACACACAGAAAAAGTCCAACATACCGGGAAATTCCTAGCAAAGTATACCAAGTTCTCCAATGATATGAAACCACCACCCCTGAAGAATTAATTAACAACATTGCAAAATACTGAGAAGACATACTTGAAAATGAATAGAAGTTATTAAGGCATTGACACATAACCACATCACCAACCTAAAATCTGTGGACGGATCCTTCCCTTGCCAACCCATCTCCTTCCATTGCTCAGATATCAAACCACGTAGCTCCTCTTCAGGGAAAGCAGCATTCCATAATGCCCTCAGAGCTTCCTACAAGAAAACAGCAATTTGCATCAGTACCGAACACAAACAGCCACCCGGCATATTGAAATATGACGGGTAGCCCGTCTGACATTTTAACAAACAAGCATGTTCTCATAACTAACTTGCAAGAGAACAACACAAGAACTCATAAGAAATTTTAGCAGAAGCTGCACCTGATGCTCAGGGACTGAACTATCATATGGAACATCTATACGACTCTGTAATTGCTGCAAGCATTCTTCCTGTTAAAACCACAGCGCAGAGATAAATGTTCGTTCAATAACCGGATTGGAAGAAAAAGATGGAACAAAGAAGGAAAAAAAATGAAAACCAACTGTCAGTAAAATGACATTCATGAATTTGAAGTTTTTTCACAATAGTGATCCTTTTCCCCAGTTTACAGTAGTAAGAGATACAAATAGAGAAAACCAAAGAATTCATGATTTACAAGCATCTGAGAGGATAAACACTAGGACCGAAAACAATATCAGCAATGCTGAAGATACAAGGAATTAGAGATGATATGTAATCCTGAAATTCGGCTGCACCCTAATTGCAGTAAATGCATGCATAACCAGCAAATTGGAGTTGCCTAAGTAAAGGTATGAAGGAAAGAAAAAAAATCCACCAGTGGAAATGGGAGATAATTCATCAAATCATAATACCTGGGCAGGGGTTAAATCAAATGAGGGACGGGAATCACTCTCTCTTCTTTGAGCACAAACGCAAGAAAGGCCACGACCAAGCCATGCAGCAGACCCTGCTACAACCTCGGCTGTAATAAAATAAACATTTTCAAATCAATAAAATCACATTTCTAATCAGATTCAGAAGCTCACAGGTCAAGCATATATAGACTTCGAAGCTGAAAAAGCAAGAGAGAGAGAGAGAGAACATCTCTGCTTAGTGTTTACCAATTGCTAACAAGCATTATGCATCTCAAGCAAAAATCAATCTCACATGAGCTTGCTTGCATTGAAGAGCATAGGCACATTTGTCTCATTGTGTCATAAATGGTATCAATCTCTTGTCTACTCAAGAAATAAGAAACAACATACTACAGGGGGGAAATACACCGACTTCCTTTCTCCAAGAGCTAAGAATTTGACAACCTAGGCCATTGGAAGAATATGGAGACCAGTGGTTCGTTAACAATACACAATATTGAGCATCTTTCATTTTCTAAGATGTACAAGAATCATTGCTTGAAAAGAAAAGGAGTGGGGCGTTGAAGTCAGCCAGCCAGAAAACAAGCATCCCCCAGGGGAGAAGTCGATTTCTCATCAATTTCTTCACAAATTGAAAGCTGGACTTCAAGGACAATTTGGCTTGAAGATTCAGAGCTTTACTTACTACTCGACTAATATGATTTGCAACACCAGCATCACCAATCAAGCAAAACGAAAGATCAAGAACGGATGGGAGTCCAGGGACCTAGCCTCCCCCGGAAACCTTCCTACTCGGTGATTAAAACCCGAAAATGACCTATAAAATGAAAAAGGCACCAGAGCGGAAGAAGAGAGAGAGAGAGAGAGAGAGGGAGTGAGGATGAACAGTAGCACATCTGCAACGGCAGCAAAGCTAACGTACCAAAGCAATTTTGCATATCAGCAAGCATGAAGCTAGCAAAGAATTTTTCGTTATCTCAAACCTAATTCACACGCAGCTGCGTCTCCACCGAAAAACGCGAGAGAGAACTGATTGCAGAGCAGGCGGGAGCGAAGAAAAATAGTCAAAGTAAAGCTTCTAGAAAGAGAGGCGAATTTAAATGTTAAAAGCGAGCTTGAGGAAACCGTACCAGAACTTGAATGGCAGTCGCTGTTGCCTCGGTCCAGACCTTGAGATATCCTTCTGACAGCGACAAAGGACCCTCCTCTATCCTCCATTCTCCAGCTCCGAGCTCTCTCCCTTTCCAGCACCGCGGCACCAGCTCAATCGACGGAACAGCCAAACACGCCTCCGCTATCGGCCAACGAGTGAGCCAACTACTACTGCACAGACAGAGGAATCAAGCAGGATCAGAATCTGTGATGGCAGAAATCAACTCAGGCATTGAATCGCACGGGAAGAACAAGCACTAGCTCACCGCGCCGACGAAATCAACGCGATTACGAACTCTCTTTGATTCTCCAGCAGCAATCGAGCAGGGGAACTGGACAAAAGATCAGAGCGGAAACAAGGATTACGATGTCGACCAGGAAAAGGGAGAAATGGCGGCGAGGGGAGAGCTGCTGCTCTGCTCGTGAACTCAAACCTTGGAAAGGACGGTTCGATAATTAAGGCGGACAATGGGTGCGAAAAATAAGAGGATTTTCGGAGTTAGCAGAGCTGCGCTCGCTAGGGGGAAAAAAAAGGGAAGCGAATCTATAGAGGAGAAAGATTGTGGAAGAACGGAGATCCAAAACAAGGAAGGAAAGGCGGAATTAGTGGAGAGAAGTAGTGCCGCTCTCGTTGTGTTATGGAATTTCGGGAGCCATTTCTGGCTGCCTGCCTGCTTCAGCACGGAGCGACGCCTGCTGTTTGTGTCTGTTTGGGGCTTTGGGGGTGTCCGAATGAGCCAGCGAATCCGAAAAATTGAATCCACATTATTTTAGGATGCCGTGACAAAGGTCACATAAATCGTTAATTTCGAAACTAATCACTAGCTTGTATATATTTTGTGGGAAGGGGTAGGTTGAAAACTCTTATCTATAAAATCACTATAAAATCTCATCATTCCATCCTTCATTTCTACTTCATCTAATGATACATAATAATTATAAAAAAAATGGAGCAGCCTGGTAATTTTGCCATCCTAGTTTTTCTTTTTTATGACAGCCTGACCAGCTGCATATCCAAAATAGGGCAAAACTTGAGTCACATTTGAAAAGATATCGAGAGAATTGGGCCGTAACCCGACGAGCATTGAAACGAATATATAAACTAAAAAATTTACAAGTGTTATACTAACTCTGGATACAAGGAAGGTTGGGCCGTAGCCCAGGGGCGCCCCCCCTTGAATCCGTCACTAAGTCTGACAAAATCTAGAGAAGAGAATGTACTTTTTCTAATCTACTTCTTAATCGGATCCTACATAATTCATTTTAACTCGAAATTTTAAAAAAAATTGGCATAGAAAGAGTGCATTCATTATGATCTGCACATTGATCATAGATCACTGGTAGCTTGGGTTCGATTCCTTGAGCTACCAGTCCACTTCTACCATAGACAGATTCTTTTCGCTCTCGCGAACCTCATTTGTCGGACGAATCAAATTGGATTACAACACAAAACACCATAGGGTGAGGTAAGTTAGATCAAGCGTTGTCGAGCTTGACATTGCCAAGTCTTTCCCTTCGCGCGATAAACTATGAAAACCTCCCAACTATATGTTATGAATGTGGCCGAATTGGGCATTCAGAGGATATATGTCCGCAAAAGAGTGAACCTTCACAAGCCACCCTAACCTTACCAAGTTCTGAGCAAATTGCCTCATTGTCGCCGACCTCGCAGGAGCCCCTATCCGATTTTTCCCATGGATGCAAGCCACGTGGAAAGCTCGCAAACCTACAAGGAAAGTGGCGGATATGCCCAACCAAAATCGTGGGCATTCGAATGGATTTCGCCCATAATCAGGGAAATTACATATTGCCTGAAAAGGCAAGTGGGAGGAGCTAACGGGAAGAGGATACATAGACAACAAAGGAAAGGCATATCAGATTGTAGGGACCAAGAAGGGAACCCACCAAACCCAAAAAGCATGCAATCAGGCAAAAGATGAGGGAATCCCAACAGTAAGAAAAGCTCCCAACTAATCCAAGCTTGGAGGGCTGTTGGTGTAAAAGAAAATGAGGAAAACCATCCCAAACAACAATCCAAGCCCAGCCTAACAACAACAACCACTGACCTATCGTATTCGGGTACAAAAGTTGAACTAGTTTCCCAAAGACATCAGGGTCCAAATAACTTAAATTTTTGAATCCTCTCAGTCCATGATCTGATTCCGGCAAACAAAGATAATCAGGACCCCAACTAAGTTTCGCCATCGGTTTGCCAACATTTCCCAAAAAAGAATCAAGAAAAGTCATCGCCGTAAGAGAAGAACTAAGGATCCAACAAAAAAACCGCTCCAAGTGCAAAGATCCAGACAACACGATAACTCACAAAGACTAAAGCACTTGCCTCTTCCGGTGACTATGGAAGCAATTGTGGATTTCTTCTTTCAACCTCAACACAATTTAAGAGAAACTCATAAGTTAGCTAAGAAGACCGTTGATGATGGGACAATTACAGAAACCCCTCTGGCTAATTCCTTGGAGAAAGTTGAACCGATTGCAGAGCAGGAGCTCGATCTCACCTTGCTCTCCTGATTCCCTCTGCTCTTCTTTTTTATTTTCCCCTTGTTTTTGGTTTCAACTCTTTTATCCTTTGTTTATTTATATCTACCCCTACAAATTTAAAAATATTGTCTTGGAATGTCAATGACGCATGTAGCAGAAAGTTCGCCAAAGCCATCATACTCCTCATTCCTCAACGCTGTTCACAAGCCTGATTGTCTAGTCATTCTGGAGCCGCATTTTAGTGTCGATCGAGCTAAAAGCCTACTATCGGTTAGGTTTTGATGAAGTCCAGAGAGTGGATGTTTTTGGTAGATTCATGGGCATCTGGATTGTGTGGAATAACTCCAATTTTAAGGCTGATCTGATTGATGGGAGTAAACAACATATTTCTATCAAGATTACTGGGGAGGAAAATTGTCAATGGATCCTCAAAGTAGTCTACGGAACCCTCCATACCATTTTCACACTATCCTCTGGAACCATCTGATCAAATTTATTCGATTATGTTCTCTTCCCCGGCTCCTTATAGTTGACTTCAACACCTACTGTGATTCGAAAGAAAAACTTGGAGCTATCTCCTCTGTGGCGCTACGAAGATGTCAGTGCTTTAATAACTGGATCAATGAAGCTAAATTGATTGAACTTGGCTACACTAGCCCTCTCCATACTTGGTCTAGTGGAGACACGCTATCAACTAGGAAATCTAGCCATATTAACTAAGCTTTGTGCAACAACTCGTGGAATATGGCTTTCGCGAATTCCTTAGTGCAACATCTGCTCAAATTTCAATCTGACCATCTGCCTATCCTCATCGCTACCCAAAGCAAGCCTACTATCAATAACCATGGGGACAACCAATTTCGAAGCGTCATGGCTCAAGCATGAAAATGTGTATGAATTTCTCTCCAGCAACTGGAACAAGTACATCTCTTTGCAGCAAGCTATCAATGAGATCACCCCAAAACTACAAGAATGGAGCTGAGATGTCTTTGGTTCTATTTTCAAAAGAAAGAAAAAATTATTATCAAGGTTCCAATGCATAACTATCCGCCTTGCTAATACGTTCAGCGTAGGCCTGCTAAAACTCCAATCAATCTAAAAAAGAAGCTGGATAATGTCCTTGCCAAAGAAGAACTCATTTGATTCCAACGAGCCAATGAGCATTGGGTGCCTTTAGGAGAACAATACACTTTCTTCCTCCGGGTCCCATTCTTCCCACCAGAGGAGTGCGACAGGGAGACCCTATTTCCCACTTTCTTTTCATCCTCTGTATGGAACGTTTAGCTCACATATTTGAATAATAAGTGACAGATAAGCTTTGGAAGCCGTTGGCTCTATCTGCAAATGGCCCAAAGCATTCCCACCTCTTTTTCGCCGATGACTTAATTTTATTTGCAGAGGCAAAAGGGAGACAGATTGATACCACTAAGAAATGCCTAGAGAAATTCTGCTCCAGCTCAGGGCAACGCGTCAACTTCAACAAATCATCTATGTTCATTTCTCCAAACATCCAACGAGACAATGCTTTTCAACTTAGCAATCAAGCTGGGATAAACCTGATGATGGATCTTGGGAGAAATCTGGGATTGAATGCAATTAATGGACGAGTTACAAAAACCATATATAAAGATTTGATGCCTAAAATTCAAAATGAACTTGCCTCCTGGAAGACGATACATCTTTCTATGGCTGCTCATAACACTCTAGTTAAGACTGTTACTTCCAACATTGCGATTTACCCAATGTTTTCTAAGCTTATTGCTAGTGGTGTTTGCAATGCTATCAATAGGTGCAATAGACGTTTTATCTGGGGGAAGGAAGAAGGGAATTCAAAGATGCACTTTATAGCCTGAAACCATTTCACTTTACCTCACAACCAGGGAGGTCTGACATTCGCCCTACCAGGTTGGCAAATCAAGCTAAGGAAGCCTGGAAGCTTGTGATGGAAGATCAAGCACCGTGGGCTAGAGTCCTAAGAAGCAAGTACGATCAAGACATAAAGAGCCTCAGAGTGTTGAGTAATATAAAGGGAAGTTCACATGCTTTGTGCAGCTTTTCCCAAAGTGCAAACCTCGTGCACAGAGGTGTTGCTTATAATGTAAAAACTAGGAAGATTACTAATTTCTGGATGGACCCTTGGATTTTGCAGGATCCTTTGATTGAGAAGGAAACAACTACCATCACTCCAGACATGATTCAAAAGAAGATAGCTGACTATTGGGACTGCACCAGTGGCTGCAAAATGGAGGAGCTTAACAACCTTCTCCCCCCGGAGATCCTAAATAGGACCCGTGTTGTCATCCTGGACCTCATTTCAACCATAGAAGATCGTATTTTCTAGAAGCCTACTGCAAATGGCAACTTCAACACTGCTTCGGTTACAAATTGGCAGCCCAGCAACTTAACTACCATGACCAAAAGTTGTGGCGTAAAGTCTGGCAGTTGTAAACTGCTAAGAGAATTTGAATTCTCATTTGGATAGCTCTAAAGGGAAGATTGATGACCAACAGCTTGCGGAAAGATCGACACCTTACCTCGGATAACAATTGATCGCTCTGCCAAAGCTCTCATGAGACCAACGCTCATTGGTTAAGGGATTATCAAACTATAAAGAGGGTATGGGAAAAGGTTGTCCCTTCCCATTTTCAGCATCAATTTTTTACAATAGATCAAGTGGGATGGCTCAAGGTGAACCTCGACAGAGATGGCAGGGAAAAAGGAATAGGAGAATGGTCTAGCTTCTTTTCACTCATATGCTGGTGCATTTGGAAGAAAGAAATTTACTATATATTCAAGACCATCAGAATCTCCCCAACAACCTTGATCAACTACATCATGTGCAAAGCAAAGGACTGGAGAAGAGTTTGGACAACAGCCAAGGCCAGGTTAGAAACGAATACTAAACCGCCAGAGAGGAACAACTCAATGGATGGCACCCTTCTCCGGTTAGGTGGCTGAAACTCAACATAGATGGGACGGCTTAGGGAAATATGGGCATCGTTACTATTGGGGGATGCTTCCGTGACAACGGCGGTGACTGGCAAGGGGTTTTTTGCTACAAGATCGGATCAGGTACCGCCATTCTTGCTGAACTTTGGGGTATTCATCAAGGACTCGAATTTGCATAGAGAAAGGTAACCCTATGCCTCATCGTAGAGATCGACTCCAAGCTAGCTCTTGAGCTGATTAAAAAGAGAACTGAATCGATTCATCCCCATGCTACTTGACTCGTTAAAACACAACACCAAACTATGACCAAGTGTATTGTAGAATGGAAATGCAGTATAGTGGGTTTAGGTTCT